ATTGGCAGATTTAGTCATTCGAATAAACAATATCGATTGCCTTGTGAAACTGGGTGTTGATCTCTATGTTATCCCGGCTACTGTAACCTTTAATCGTTAGAACACATAACCTCTTAGGGCGTCCTCTGCAGCCTACCCTTTGTTCTATTCATATTAGTTACCATGGGTCTATCCATCACCTGCGTGCTTCTTTAAGATTAGACAACGTGGATTTCCATGGCATACTGGTTCGCTCGCATTTTATTTTCGCTCACCTTCCCGCCTTATGTATGATTCGCGTTCAAGAGTAGCTTGACCAAATTCTTACCTACTAGGTGGAATTTATCGAACATTCAGAATTACGTATTCCATCAAGTAACTGTTTCCCCTACATAACTACTGATTCCTATCACAACGTGACAGTGTGAATTCGTGCTCTGGTTTTTGATAGTATGCGCTTACCAATTATCATTCCCATACTTTTCATGTGACCAATTCCTACGTTTGCATTTGACTACAATGAACTTTGTTTACTTCAGATACTGTTTTTATGATCTGTGTATTCCATCTTCGTCGTTAAACGTGTAGTTGGAAATCCGGCTGAATGCGTCCCGCCTGAATGCCCTGTCCGAACGGTCTGAGTCCTATTCTTCATACGATAATGATCATGGCTTCCCGTGGTCCGAAGAGATCCATCGAGTTCGATCAGAGGTGTTTCGCCTGTCCCATTTTCGACCGCTACAGTTGCGAGCGATCAATGCTACCTTGGATGGAAAAGATCTCATTCTGGTTATGCCAACAGGTGAGCATAACTGCATCACGTTCCCGTGATACCGAATGTATTAATACACTGATGACTGCGTTTCTGCTTGCACGTTTTGCACCAATTGTCGGAATTTTCCTATTGCGTTTCCATCTTGCTTTACAGTAAAAGAACTATCTTTCTCAAACCCAAACACTGCTTTTAAAGCTGTATAGGGAACACAAAGCATGTGTATACTGTTTGAAGCAATGTGCTCAATTTGTGGGAAGGGCCTGAGAAACCTTGTTATGTGTGATAGTCATACTGTATCGCTGTAATGGACTTGAGTTTTTTCTGACTAGGTAATACTTTCGCTTGGTGCAGGGATAATGGGATATAATCAAGGCATCTCCACTGAATCAGATTCATGCCTTCGGAGTGCAATAAAGCAACTGGCATGTCAAGCAAACCTCACTTCTGGAAATGATGTAAAATGGTTGTAGCTCGGGATGCGGATTTCGGTGTTGATGAGTTTTCCGAGCTGTAAGTGTTGTTTGCACTGATGATCTTGCCTGGTTTGACTATGAAACGTCTGTGAAAACCACTTCTAGCTCGGAGAACTCACCAAGACCAACAAACCTCACTTTTTGTTATGTCTCGCTAAGAAGTATGATCGATACGAGCGCCTCTTGACTAGCCCCCAGCAATGATACGTAGAGAAAACACTGCTGGGGAAACGACTGTCAGTGTATTATTGATCAATACGAAAAGATATGCGGTAAATTGGGTGAACGAGAAACGTGGATTTTTGTTGCACATCTTGGTTTGATGAACGATGATAATGGTGATCCTCGTAGTCTTTAGCACCCGCCATTCGCATTGGAAATCGATAACTTAAGCCCTTGAACTTGTAGTGGCTAACCATATAGAGTGCCAGTATTATGGATGGAAATAATCGCATCAGTACGGCATGCTTCCATTTCATTTTATGCACCCACTAGCTGTACACTTTCGCTCTTTGATTTTGGCTAATGTCTTTTTGATGCCCATTTGGACAAATAATTATAGAGAACATAGAAATATTAAATGCAGTTTCAACGCGAAAATAGTAAATTCAGGTTGACCAAGTTTACGGATGAATAGAATAGACATACGAGCGCGCTGTTTACGGCACTCATTGTCTCTAACCAACGGTCACTCTGATCCCAAGAACCCCTTCAGGAAACCTAACGAAACCTACTTATCCAGGTCCCTCAGAGAGGGTTTTCATCCCCTCTGTTTTGATGATTTGCGTAACACATGTTCCAATCTGTCTAACCCGAGCACTTGCCCCAGTGAGCAACCGCGATTACCCAAAACTGCGTCTAACTTCAGGACTGCCTATCTGGTTTCTTCACCAGAGTGAGCAGCAATGTTCGAACGCCGGCAGTCTGCCGTCGTTCTAGTTTCGTAGCTACCAAGTATCTACACAGTATAACAGCACTTATCGAACTGCGCAGTCGCATATTGCAGCGACGTCAGAGATACCCTTAGTTGGTAAATGCCAACGGAGCCTCCTGTCTGCGTTCAAAAACTTCATTTCCAATGCGTCCGCCAGGTGAGATGTTGCTGCCCAAATAGCAGAATTTTCTCCGATGTCGGCGCATGGACACCGGTAGATCACTCAGTTATTGAACGAATGGAAAGAGATTCTGTACACCATTGTGTGACGGACTGGCCGAGACCACCCTAAATAAATTGTGACCACATGTCAACAATGCATGCACGTGAGNTCCCTTTTTGAGAGCTCTGTTGTTATATATCCACAAGACAGTACCGGGACGTAATCAGTTGTTAGTTACGAGCAGCGGTAAGGGTATCTCTAACTTGGTGTACACACAACAAAACGTCTCATTTGAAACAGGTTATCATAATTCCCACAAACTAACTAATGGAACGGTTCGGAGGTAGATGTGCCTTTTTTATAATTATTGTTTTGAGCAGAATAATTTGCTCTAGGAGGTCTTGTTCATTTTTGACCGTTGTGAAAAACCACGAATTCTATCCTGTTGCATATCGATAATTCGTGCACTTCTTGGAATTATTTGCTATCCTTTTTTCCTTTTATCCGGATTCCTTATTCAATAATGATTTAAACTCCCTTATTGTTTCTTACGAACTTTTCCGGGGACTAGGTGCTGGGAAAAGCTTGGTCTATCAATTACCAGCCTTGTTGAACTACCGCAATTTTAAATCTTCCGATCCCAAGTTGTCTTCATTCAACCCTATCACACTGGTCATCAGTCCGTTGGTTTCACTAATGACCGATCAGACCATGAGTTTAACACGACTAGGATTACCTGTCGGCACTGTGACGGTTTTTGACGCGAGCACTCCGTTGCCGGATCAGAAACGAATTCTAGACCAGTTGGCTACAACCCAGGTTGGTTTTTATTTTTGTCGAGCAGCTGACTACACTTCCTGTGCCATAAAATGCTTTCATTTTCATTAATATTCATTTCGGTTCATCACCCTGGCGGTGATGACCAAGTGGTTAGTTCTCTAATTTGTGACCCGGGTTCGGAGTGCTCCACTGCCGCCCGTCTTCCCCGTTTCTGTATTTTTCCAGGCAGCCGTATCCGCGGGCTCCTTCGTGATTGTTGACTGTAGAATTTCTATGATCGATAAATGAAAAGGAAGTAGAAAAACATTTGTTTACTAAAGCTCGATCAATTTCCCCATTTCTGATTTTGAGGCGAACATTCTAATTTCCGGAAAGTAAGCTCTTGGCAGCATTTTTCGAATCGACTTTGCATTTAACCTAGTGCCTGTTCAGGCGAACTCCACACGTATTAACCTTAGCTTCGACACGTAGTTTCATGTATCAGATATTGCAGTCTGGCCGTTGTCTTCTAAAACAGACCAGGGATTGTTTCAAGAGTTGTGCAGCACCTTCTGGAGTACGAACAATTCGACAGTGATTTGCTTGCAGTTTGGTTTAGAGAAGCTCTGTAAAATGACAAAGAATGATCTCAACTCACATATCTATTCATCTCCGAATCACCTGTGAATTTTGTGAAGGAAGATTTATCTGTTTATTTTGACCTTCATTTGGCAAGAAAAGCCATTGGCATGTCTTATTGTTTTGGAAGTAGACGTAACAGAGGAGGAAGCAGCCCTTGTGGTCTGAGTTTTCGGGAATTTCGCCAAGAACTCAAGAACTCTACAGTCAAGGCCGGTCACTTCAACCGTGAAAAGATGGAGAAAGACTTCCTCATACTTAGCTTACCTAATTAAAACGCTAATAAATCCCATTGGAATTGTTTTCACTCCGAGCTGAGTTGCCCGACTTTTGAAACGCCAGATACATCTCCTTTTCCGGATAAGCACTTCGCGGACCAAACTTGGAAAATCCCATTACACTGAGACAAGTCTCGCAAAAGTCTGCTACCCCTCCCGGAACTGTGCTCAACATTCCAGAATTGCAGCGAAAGTCCGTCAAATGACCGGGTTTTCAAGAACTTTAGTCATTCAGATGCATACTATTCATACTACTCACTCACGTGTGACTTGACCACCTCATGTTTAAAGAAACAGGTATTCAGTATCAGTTTCATATAGTTTCGGAATGAATACAAAAGAGTAGCAATTTAGTGATCAGGCTATCCGCATTTGCAAAAACAGAAAGGCCCTTTTTTGTATTGGAAGGATGGATCTCAAGTGAACGGTGTATCCTGGTCACTGTAGCGGAGTATACTGAGGTAATATCGCGTAGGACGGCAAATCAAGATCTTAGCTAAGAATGAAAAACGATGAAATGAGAGTATATACCTTTTAAATCTTCTCCAGCTGTCTCTGTTTAAAGAAATAGCGATTTCTGAATAATCATAATTCAGCACGGATTTCTCTGTTCATTGCGAAAGCGCAAATAGCGGTTTCGTTGTTGCTGTAGTCACATGATCCCAAAATCCCGTGGCATATCCTGACCGTTTTCGTATACTTGGGCTCATCTGTATGAGTGTTCATCTCCCGTGAACTATAAGACGGGAACATATCACTAATGCTGGTGGATCCTGCTTGATAGATATACACCTCAGTTTTACTGAAATTCACATCAAAGTAATGTGCTGCGGCTGTGTTATCGCGATGATAAAACTGCCAGTCAAAGTGAACATTTTTACCATAATTCCCAGATGAAATAAGATATCTCTATAAAACTAATTGCAAGTAAAATACCAAAGCGAGGGTTGTTTTAATATACTACGAATTATATGACAGTTGTGTAAGTTCATAAGAAATCCCAAGTTGAAACATTAGAATATTCTTCAATAATGCATTCTGAGTTTGGATTTTTTGGTTGGTAGTCTGCAACACTGTAACCATATGATCCTATCAAACAAAGATGTTTATCAGTTCTGGCTGTGAAATGTACTTACTACGTCGCCAGATTCTGAACTGATAAGTACGATAGTGATACGTGACAAAACGCCTTTTCGTTTCGGCTTGGGGGAGGTATTCAATCGATGGTACATCGATCAAGGATGATCCACCAGTATCAGCGAAACATCGTCCCATCTTATAGTTCAGGGAGGTATCACTAATAGAGACTAGTACGAGTGTACATAAACGGTAGGGATTCGCCATCGAATTTGGGGATCGTGTGACTACAGCAGAAATTTGATCACGAAATACCAGGAAATATTGAGAGGGAATTCATTATTGCTAACACGGGAGATAGCGGTGCAAGAAGAGAAACAGGAGGTAGAGGAGTTTAAAGTTGCATCATCAGCTAAAGCATGAACGGGATTGAATGTCGAAGAATGAAGATCATCAATGAAAATCAGAAAAAAGGTTATGGGGCGAATTAATGTGTTTTATCAGTTTTTATTGTATTTTTTATGCTCCAAATGATGCAATTGTTGCATCTCAGTGGATTGTATATGTAGTGATTTATGTTTTATCCTCGATAAACTTAGTACGAGTTCTCGTCTTCTTTCTTATTTGGTCATTCGTTGCCATTTTCATTCACCCTAAAAGCAAAAGCCAACGGGTAATAACATCCCTCTTCGACTGTTGTTTATCACGCCGGAGAAATTGGCTAAAAGTAAACGCCTATTAAACAGACTGGAAACCGCCTATGCAAACGGTCGTCTGGGACGAATCGCGATCGACGAGGTGCATTGTGTAAGCCAATGGGGACATGATTTTCGGCCGGATTATCAATTTCTTCATGTGTTGCGTCGACAGTTCCCTTCAGTTCCCATTTTGGGATTAACTGCCACGGCTTCTGCAGAAGTGATTGTGGACATTCAGACAATGCTGAATCTCAAACCAGATCGATGTCTAGTGATCCGGTCCGGATATAACCGTCCCAATTTGTATTACAAAGTAAGAAACGATGACCGTTTCATACAAGAGTATAATGAAACAAGAATCTTATTGCAATATGTTTATTGTCCGCATGTTTTCAACGTGTTCTATGGCTTTTGATTACTTTTTTGGTGTTCTTTCTTAGCTTTTATTATGCATACACTTTTGTTAAAACAATGCGGTCCCCTCCCCACCGCAAAAAAATCAGACACAATTATCTCTAATCGCCCATTTTTACGAAAACCCAAGTGGTTTTCAGCCGCTCGATTAAAATCTACTTGACGCAGAATATGCCTATGAACAGGAGATTTGATTAATTTCTGGAGAACACTATATATATATATATATATATATGTATATATATAACTTACACCCGCTTGAGAACAAGTATGGTGTCAATGAAAAACAATGAATATGAAGTTACGGAGGGGTACAGTAAGATTAAGTATAAATGGGAAAAACAGAATGAATGAACAGCGGATTTACTGTGATAGATTCACCGTGCGCTTTTTAAAGATTCATTTTTGCTATGGAGAACGTGGTTTCGCCAAACAAACCGCACAACATTGATCCCACTGACATCTATTCGGAGCCATATCTCTCTGCGTCTCCAGCCATCGGCAATCCTCATCCCTTGGGCCCCAATCTGGAAGGCGAGTGTTGTGTCCGAATCCCGATTGATCACAATGTACACACAACAAGATATCACACGACGACACACAAGGAAAACACCCTTACCTCAACGGCCACACTAATTCTCTAGCCCCACGAGTACGATCACAGCTCAGATTGGACGCCACGAGCACTAGTAGCCTTCTCCCAGCTACGTAAGCAAGAACACAGTTAGTGCACAGCGAACGTGTACTTCACACAAACAGGAAAACAAGTCAATTTACAAGTTTTACTCTGATGCTTACATGTGACCCAAAATAGCATCGATTAATGCAAGAAAAAGATTGTGCCAATCAAGTACACAGTTAGCAAAGTTCAATCGGTCATAGG